CGGGGGAGTGGAGGGCGGGGCAGCAGCTTCCGCGCTGCACACATGCCACGAGCACCACCTAGCATCCCCAACAGCTCCAGCCACGCTCAGTCTCAACCCATCCTCCGCGGGCACCGCAGCCCTCCCCAGCTCTCCCCCCCTTCGCCGCCGGACTTACCGCCTCACCTGCAGTTCATCGGCCTGGGGAGGGATGGATTTGTCACTTCCACACCAATTATTTAATTGCCTGCATGTTACATAGATCTAAAGACTTGCAGTATTACCATAATAATCTGTTAAAAGTGAAGCAACCCCAATTAATACAAGTGATAAAACTCAAAATAAATTAACTCGATCAAAAAACCTAATCAGCTACGTCTAGACTGGCATGATTTTCCGCAAATGCTTTTAACGGAAAGCTTTTCCGTTAAAAGCATTTGCGGAAAAGAGTGTCTAGATTGGTACAGACGCTTTTCCGCAAAAGCACTTTTTGCGGAAAAGCGTCCATGCCAATCTAGATGCACTTTTCCGCAAAAAAGCCCCGATGGCCATTTTCGTGAACGGGGCTTTTTTGCTCAAAACAAATCTGAGCTGTGTACAGTGGCCCTTTTGTGCAAAAGCTTTGCGCAAAAGGACTTTTGCCCAAACGGGAGTAGCATAGTATTTCCGCAAGAAGCACTGATTTCAGACAGTAGGAAGTCAGTGTTCTTGTGGAAATTCAAGCGCCAGTGTAGACAGCTAGCAAGTTTTTCTGCAAAAGCAGATGCTTTTGCGGAAAAACTTGCCAGTCTAGACACAGCCATCATGATTAAGTGCCGTTTTTACTGCACTATTAAACAATAGAAGAACAACTGATATTTATCATAAATATTTTGGATGTTTTCCTACATTTTCGAATACAATGATTTCTCTTACAACACAAAATACTAAGTTTAGAGTGCTCACCTCATATTATTTAATCACAAGTATTTGCATTGTAAAAAGGTAAACAAAAGAAATTGTATTTTTCAATTCACTTCATACAAGTACGGGTTGGATATCTCTGATCCAGCACCCGAGACCCGACCAGTCCCGCACCAGAGAATTTGTCGGACTAGAGATGGTTCCCTGCCAAAGCCCCCAGCCACTGACTCTGCCAGCTATGACGGAGGGAAGGGGAGGAAGGACTTCCTCCAATCCCTGCCAGGCTACCTGCTGGGTAACTGACCCCACTGCTGCCCCAGCCAGACTGCCTGCCAGGCTCCAGGAGCTCACACTGCCATAGGCAGGGCCGGCCTGAGTCATTCATGTGCCCTGGGCACGCAACACATGTGCAGCCCCGCCCCAGGCGCACAGCACCCCCTGTCCCCAGGCACCCGGCGCATGCACGGCCCCATCCCAGGCACGTAGCGCATGCACGGTGCCATCCCCACCTGGCCTGGTAGCCCCGTGCAGCGCCACCTATAATGGGGCATCCCGGGCGGTAGCCCGGTCAGCCCATCGCTTGGGCCATCTCTGGCCATAGACTCCTGCCCCGTGCAACCATGAGTTGCCAGGGGCTGGCTCTGTCCCTGGTCCAGCTGCCAGGTGCTCAGGCTCCAGTCCCAGCCCAGCAGCAGCCTGAGGGCTCTGGCTCCACTTCTGCAGACTGTCTAGAACTCCGGCTCCTCCAGCCTCAGACTCGGTACCTCTGCCACAGGCTGCCAAGAGTGTGGGCTCCTGCCCCACAGCAGCCCACAGGCTCTGGTCCCGCTTCTTCAGGCTATACGGGGCTCCAGCCCCATACTACGGGGGCAGCCACCAGCCCCAGCATTGGTCCAAAGCTTCTCAGTCATGCTGTTTATTCAGCCAATTGTTAAGACAAAGAAGTTTTGTTTATTGGCTCCTGCCTTCCCCTTTCTTATTTACAATGTCACCTGAAAATGAGAGCAGGTGTTTGCACAGCACTTTTGTAGCCCGTTTTGCAGGGTTTTTAGTATGCCAGATGGCTTTGCCCATAGTTCCAGAGTATATGTTTCTCTTCTGTAATTGAAATCAATATATTTGAAAATGCAGAAAACATCAACAAATATTTAAACAAATGGGTTTCTATTATTAACAGTGCAGTTAAAACTGTGGTTAATGGCAATTAAGGTCTTTAATCATTTGACAGCCCTAGTTGCAAGTTTCTCTGCCCAACTAAAAATGCTACAGCAGAGGACTGCAACCTATGGCTCTAGAGCCAAATATGGCTCAGTATGGAACCAAATATGACTCTTTTGTCATTCCAAATATACACACAACTTTTTAAATTAAAATGAAAAATTCAGAATTTTAAAAAACACATAATTACTCTGTGAAAGCAGGCTCTTTGCTGGCCAGGCCTCTCGTGCGTATTGCCATCCAAGCAAAAGGTCAACTTCCCCTTGATGAAAACCCTTACACTATGTAACTTAAAGATCAGCGACGAACAGGAACCAAAACCAGACCTAAAAAGTTCATGTAAAGTTCGTGCTGGTTGTGCTGACTGTGCCATGCCCAATAAGCAGAAAAGGAAGAACAGGAAACCATCTCACCCCCTTACTCCTGTCACTTAACAGACAGGGTCTGCTAGCCTATCACAAAAAGCGCGCAAAAGGTTTCTCTATAAAACAGCTTCCCCTCCTGTATCAAATTGAGGAATCCCGAATTAACATTGGATGGCAGAATATGAGCCAGGTCGAGGACTGATCACCCAAGGGCCACCTCCCGCTCACGGAACCAAACGAGTTCCTGTAGAGCGTAACGTATACCAAACATGTTGTTGTTGTAGTTTGTGTGTCTGTTAAATGTAAGTATTGTTATCTGAAATTGTTTAGAGGTATTGTTAAGTAGTAGTGTTAAGAGTTTTAGATAAATGATTAGTCTTATAAGTAACACTGATGTACATGTAACTGTTAATAATCCCTGATCCCTTGTTAACAACTATTGGGATTTAGAAAACCCTCAGGGAATTTTCTTTACTGTATTGCATTTTGCTTATTGGACATTCTAATAATTATTTGGTGCCTACATATGAAAGAAATTGATAAAATAATAATTTATATGTAGAAGCCCTTGAATAAAGGTTTAAAAGATATTTAGTAATAGTTCACCTGTTTCTGCGCCTCCCTGGGACTAGCCACATTTCCGAACCTTTTACTTTAAACCACATATGTCAAGATGGTCTTTTGTCTATTTCACCTTTAGTTGTCCATTTTAACAACCATCCATCCTCTGAACTCATTGGGGATTGTGTATACTCTCTTTGATTGATCAAGAAATATTTCCATCATTATGCATGATGGTAAACTCTATGACCCCCTAACAGTAAAAATGGCAAACAAAAAGAGAGATGATGGGTACCAAAATTTTCAAAAAGAGTGGACAGACTTATGTGTTCAAGGAGAGGTCTGGATCTCCACAGTCTCATATGTAGAGAGAGACTGTCCTCAAACAAAAAAAAATAATCAAATTTAGAATGGCATTTCATGACAAAACATGCAGCATACACTACAAAATACCCCAAGAATGACATATGGGGGGGAAAGCCCATGAGGAGCTGCAGTGAAAAATGAACACTGGGCAAAATAATCTGCTGGCATGGTCAAAAAAAGGTGAGAGCTTAAACTCTGCAAGTTTTGCAGGCTCATACAGCATTATTTGGGAGGGAAAGCCTTTAACTGATGGGAATTACATGAAGAGACACAAACTAAAAATTGGTAATGAATTATTTGACAACATTTACAACAAGGACAAAAATCTTACAGAAAATTCAAGACATGCCATTGTCAGCAAAAACAGTTCATGACAGAGCTGTGAAACTGTCCCATCAAAACGTAAAATTTGAGTACAGCTAGTTATTTTTTGTTTTCTTTGGATGAGACAACCAACATATGTGATGTTAATTAGTTGTGTATTCTAGGGCAATATATTTGTGGAAATGCTGTGCAAGAAGAAATGATTGAGATATTACCAATGAAAAATCAAACAAGGGGCGAAGACATCCTTAAAACTGATGAACTTTGTAAACAAGAAAGAAATACAGTTGGATAATCTTGTGTCTGTCTGTATGGACAGTGCACCTAGCATGGTCAGCAAATACAGAAGATTCCTTACTCCTGTCAGAACAGTTGAACCGCCCACTTTTGAACTTTCATTTCATTGTGCATCAGGAGGCACTTTGTGCACAATCTTGTAGAACCAAACTCAGAAATATAATGGGATTGGTCGTTCGCATTGTCAACTGGATTCTTGCCCAAACCCTTAATCACCACCAATTTCAGTCACTTCTCAAGGTAGTAGATTCCAAATATCCAGATCTACTAATGCACAATTTTCACTAGTTGTCTTGTTTTTCCACCTGCATTAATTATATTAAGCCATGTTTAGATATCAAGGGTGACAAACACACCAACTTTCAGACTGACTCATTGCTCAAGTTTTAC